CTAACCCTTGAAAGGAGGAATCTGCCATCAGATTTTGTGGCCTAGTTTGGAGCCCTGATCCAAAGAGTAAACAAAGCTAATGAATCTTCTAATTAAGCATTCATTGATAGAGCTCAGATGAAAGAAGTGGCTGGCTGTTTCCTCTAGCTCTTGTAATCAAGAAACAGAACAAACTCAAAGTGAGAAAATTAATGTTCCTGTGCACAGCAAAACAGAATCGGTGTGAGCAATAATAAAATAATGAAAGCTGCTCAAACACTTACTATATATGGCACAAACAAAGCCAATAGCTGTTCAAACAAAATAAATACTCATTGGCACTTCTTCTGTGTCTTTCAGATACTGTATTTCAGTCCTTATAGAAAAAAATCCACATGGGCTTTGACAATTCATGTTAGTGTTGTCTCATATTAAAAGCGCTGACGGAATATAGGAAGACGACTTCCTAAAATGGAGGATTTACTCCAATTCTTAGAAGAAAAACACAACAGAAATAAGAAAATCTAAGTAGAACAGAGTATTTTCATTTGCACCTTTCAGTTCAACCCATTCAGAGATTTTGATTTCATTTTAGACATATATGTAAGATCTGGGTTCCTAGGACCTATTATTCCTGCTTGTGACTTTCAAAACATTCCCGATAGGTAGAGTATTAGTAACATACAACAGCCATTTTCAAATGTGTTCAGCATAGGGTCAAAACTTAAAACCAGCCCAAACAGATGTAGAAATTCTAGCATACATGAGAATAAACCCCAAAAGAAAGTTCTTCAGGGTTTCTCCCCTTCCTAGAAGTTTTTAAAAAAAGAAGTAGAAATAAACACAGAAAGCATGGTAAGGCAACTTCAAAATCTGAAACAGACTTTTCTAAGAGGTAGCTCCCAGGGGCTTCAACAAGAATTCTCTTCTTCAGTTTTTGCAATACATCTCTCTGTGGTAAAATCAATGAAAGGACCTACAGGGACAGCTTGGCTGTAGGCATGCTTTACTGCATTCCCATAGCACTAAATGTTGGCACAAAGCATTGACTGCTACAATGGACCTGTTCCAGCTCACTGCTTTCTCCTTCAGAACTGCTCTGATCAATCTTATCAATAAAAATCAATCAATCCATAAAACATGGTGCCACTGAGCGCAAATATGTTGATTTTTGGTTCTGCAGTAAATTTATAGACAATTACAAAACACTGGGAAAGGAAATTGCTTAATCATACTTTACTATGTATAGTATCTCTCATATGCCTGTTTTTTGAGTACAGGTACCATGCATAGAACAGCTCTTACGATCTCATTTTATGTACTGTATAAAAAAATACGACGTTTCACAACACATCAGAGCTATGTAACATTTGCAGCAGCAGGAGTGCCTGATTCCCCACCCTCTCAAAGCTGTGCTTTTATGGAGTAGAAACAATACATAAAAAAATCCAAGTACAAACCGTGATTTGCTTTTCTGACTTAGGACTGTTCAGTTTCTGTGCAAGGTCAAACTAAACAGGCACAGCTCTTTCTATGCTTCTGAAATAAGACCAGGAGCAGACAATGCAGACTTCATCTTGCCATCCACCTTAACCCCAAACGTACTTGCTGTGCTTTCTGCTGGGGAAACCATTCTTTGATGGGGAAAAAAGAAAAAAAAAAAAAGGGGGCAAACCCCACTAGACTTCAATGCCCAAGTGTTTTGCAGCATAGGGGAATTTTCACTACTCTGGGTGCATTCAAATAGCCTCTTGGTGCTCAGTGAAGCCCTAGCACAGGGTCTAGACATAAACTCTTCCTTGAGGAAATGCCATTCCTAGACTGAGTACATGTTAATTACATAGTATGTAGCAGAGGAAAATGTATCAACAGGAACGTACTGTCATGGAGTTGCTTGCTTTGCTTATGCAGCAGCGGTACATGAGTGCACAGCTGCCATGTTAGCACATCACTACTATTATTTCTGTGTCATTCATCATAATAGTTCACATTATTTAGGTCAGCCAACCTAGGGAAGATTTTCAAGAGATGAACCTGGATTTGGGATTATTCTACCTAAAGTTTATGTTAGATGAAATCATGACACTCACACCTAAGTAAAACAGCAAGAGAGCAGCTTTAGCTTCAGCAGATGCAAAGGGACATAACGCAAAGCTGCTGGCTGATCCTGCTCATCTCCAATGACTGCCTGCCTGCTTTTTTCAACGCAGTCTTAAACAAAGACGAGAAGAATGGTACTGACCATTTCATTCTAGCTGGAAGCGAGTCTTTATCCTGTTCCTCTGTTCACTACTACTTCAATGATTTTTCTAACAGTAACGTATCAAGGGGCTAGATTTTACTCTGCATTATGGCAAAAAGCAACAAAAGGGAGACAAAGAGAATGAGGAAATCGGAGTCAGCACTACCTTGTGCCTGGAAATACGAGTTTCCAAAGTAGGATGCCTTCGGTAGTAGCTTTCTTTTTCTAAGAGTAACAAAGCTGCATCCTTACCTGTGAGTCACAACGAAACTCAACACTGCAGGGCTGTCTGCAGACACACTTTCCCATCTTCCTGGCATGCACTGCTGGCAGAGAGGAAGGGGTTCTCCACTCATTTTCCCCCTCTCTAAAAAAACATGAGAAAGAATGTTAACAGCCCACAAGTACAAAGCTTATTTTCCTGGGATATGAAGTGAAGTTACTTTAGAAGCTGAGGTATATTCCTTTATTAATAATGGCATAATAATTGATACCATTAATAATTAAGTCTTGTGCTAAAATTGAATGTAGGAGAGACTAGCATAAATCCCTTTGCATGAAACAAGGTATGCCAGTTTGATTTAGCTGAGTATCCCACAACAATTTGCATTTAGAAGCTCACTGGATCTCTGACCAGGCCCACTGCGAATCCTTCCATCTGCTACAACGTCTATATTGCTCATTCCTTCCCTGGGTGCTCTGCAAGCTACACAAGCCACCTCTTTCGGGCAAAAGTCAAAACCAATCTCTCAGTTAAAGCTAAAATTTATCAGCACATAAAGCCACACCTGTGCTGCTGTACTTTGCATATTCAATGTTTGAATAATAGATAGCTATAACATGCATGAATGCAGCTGCCACTGAAATTTAAATCATGAATTTTGAATAAAATTTTAAGTAGAAGCCTCACTTGCAGTGCTTGCAAACCAAGAGCAATTCAATTGATCTTCATGGGGACAGTTTAGATTTGCAAAATAAAACCTTTCATCAGCTCTACTGCGATCCAGTGACGCATAAGCCTTCACTAGCTCTCAGCACAGCTCATTCCATCTAGCATGAGCTCAGATGAAAAGAGACTGCAGCTTTGTATCTCTGAGAGGCCACTGCTCTTCACAGCTCAATCTCCCTCACATTCACGTACCCTGAAACCTATGGAAATGATACCGCACAGGAGGTAACATTTTGTTTGAGATCACTAGGAGTTAGTAGGCAACATGATTAAATCAACCCTGCTCTGCCTTTAGTAGATGACTGGTATTAAGCAAACACATCTTTGTGCCAGAAATACTTAAGTACCACTGCAATCAGTGACAGGCATACAGATTAATTTATGCATATTACTAACTCTTTCCTCTTTCTTTAGGAAGCAATGAAACATTTTTGAGGTATCTCTTAATAAACAGACCTTAACCCGAGTGTACATTTATTCCTTCCTCAAGAAAACTTGGATGGGCTTGTTTTGTAAAGTATTTGGCCTTCTGACCCATAGAGACAAATTATCATTGCCTTTTTGAGCATCCAGTGAAGTCTGTGCTCAATATATTCCTAGCTTACTTCTGATAAATCTCTACTAAACAAACACTGTTTTGTTTTAATCAACCCGTGGCTAATAATCCAGGTCAGAGGTAGCTGCAACGCAGCTGTCCAGTTTTAGCCTCTGTCTTCACCAGATTAGGCAAGGATTAAATACTCAGTTCCTATGGTCCAAGTCTCAGACCGACTTGCCTCTAGAGGATCTCAAAAGAGCAGAGGAAGCACAGCTATGTAACTAAATATTAATGTATTCCGCTAAGACTGCAAACCACACGCTGTATTTGTTTCTTCATTCATGTAATTACCTGGTTATTAGGAACCACTTGTAACAAAGGACCTGGCGAGGCCAACGGGAGCTTGGAGAGCCTTGAGGAGCACACACACCTCGCAAAAACCGCAAATTGAAGGAAATCCCCCCCGCGGTCTCCCAGCGCGCACTCGTGGGGGTTCTGAGGTGGGGCCAGGGCTGCGCGCACCCCCGCCTCAGCGGGGCACTGGGCCTCCCCGAGACCCCAGCCACAACGCGGGGTTCGCAACAACCTCCGCGGGGTTTCTGTCAGGGCGGCTCCAGCCGAAGGGGGGGGCGAG